GTTTGTGTGTGTGTGTGTGTGTGTGTAGGCAGGGATAAATTATGTACACGGTCTTGGAAGGAGAACTATATATGGCTTTCAAAAACTGTAAAGTTATAATGATTCTTTTACAGAATGACATTAAGCGTTTTGTTATACGACTGAAGTTTGTTGAGTTATTTGAATTTGCAAATCCACAAATCAACAGCAAAGTCTGGTTTAACTTCTTTGTTTTTACAGGCTGTTCACAGCAAACGCACTCGACCTCATTGATGAAGACGCATTCCTGGGTTTACCACATTTGGAATATCTGTAAGTATTTACTTGTACCTTAAAGCTGGCAACTGCCATGCTTTTAAGTAATAAAGGTTATAAGGAGGACGTGTGGTAGAGCATCATAAAACCCACAAACTGCATCTCATTATTGTGCTGCTGTAAAACAAACTGATATGAGGTCAAAGCCAACCAGAACACTCAGTAGATCACATACCTCCGCCAAGGCCCAAATGTCAAACCACACCAAATTGCACACAATCATAGATCAAATCATAGTTTTTGAAATATGAAATCATGCCTCATCAGTGAAAATGTCAACTAACGCCCTCACAATGTGAAAAAACATCATGGATCCGTCTCTTTGTCTGGATCCAGTTCTTTCTTGGCCCATGTCCCATTGTTCCATTAAATTTTATCAAAATCTGTCAAGTATTTCTTTGAGTAATCCTTCTGACATCCAGACAAACCAATGGACAGGGGCGGAAACTTCCTTGGTGGAGGTGGTGATGACTTTGGAACAGAGTGTTGCATTGTGGTACAATATTGGATTGCATGCTGGCATGTTTAAGGTTTTGACTGTTGTCTGATGAGGGTGGAATCATTTACATTCTCTATGACTTTTATGAGTTCATGATGTTTACTGACCTTATGTAATTCTTTCCGACATCAACCAGAGCCCTAGTCTAATTAGCTAGCAATAATCTAAAACAAATGTGTCTGTGCCTTATAGTTAGTACAAAGCATAAAGTATGATTTGGACAGAGCTCAGGTTTTCAGCACAAGCAGAAACACATGTTTCACATGTGAGGTTACTTACACAGTGTCACAGTCTATCTATATCAACCTAAATACTAATTAAATACTTCTCATTTACAGATTTATTGAAAATAACAAAATTGCATCGATATCTCCATTTGCTTTCCGGGGCCTCAAAGTGCTGATACATCTGTAAGTATTTTGTTGATTCCATTTAAATGATTTCTAAAAAGGAAGAATTGTGGTAAAAGCTACCATGATCCTAGTATTTAAGGTATTCCAACATGAACGGTTCCCTATTCTGTCACTTTGTTACTGTCTGAAGTGCAAAGTAATCAGAATCACTGCTGCCAGTGGTTACATCCAAGGTTACTGGCTGAAGGTTTCAGCTGGATCAGGTTGCTGAGAGACAGGTCATGGTGTCTCTGGATGTTACATTGACTTAGTGTTCCAGCAGAGTTGTTGTCCACATATTAATGGCAGGAAAAATAAGGATGATTCTGTGGCTTTGACTCTTATAATAACTATATTTTTGTCTAAATAATTAAATCAATGAGACAGAGAGGCCCAGTGAATTGGCTTTTATTAGAAAAACTGTGACGTGCCGACAAAAATGTTGCTTATACCGACAATAAGTGCTGGCAACCATTCTACTCAATGTTCAGAGTCCAAAAGATCTGATGCTCGATAAGCTCCAGGTGAGGCACGCAGAGCCGGCATGCAGCTCAGGGACAGGGGCTGATAGGTTGGGCTGGCTGAGGGGAAAGGTGGCAGGTGAACCATAAGGTTGAACAACATTCTGGCATCAAATCTGTAGCTGACCTGGTCTTTAAATACTGCTGGTTCTGGATGAGAAGAGTTTGCAAGTGTGAAGCAGTGTGAGATGCAGAGAAAACATTGAAACAACGCCTACCCAGGAACATGCACCCACAGGAGCAGCTCTAAATACGTGGACACAGCAGAAACACACATGCAAGAGGAGTATATATTATCTAGAATGGTAATTAGAGGAGTGCATACCCTAGATCCATGAATTATTCTCTTGGAAATTGGTGAAAATGTAAATGTCTCCCAAAATGTTAAAGAAAGTGAAGGAAAATTCTTGGATTTGCACTTTTGTCTGCATCTGAGTTCTTTTCTGGCCCACGTCCCATCCTTCCATCAAGATGTGTGGAAATCTGTTTTAGTTTTTCATGTAATCCAAACAACAATCAAACAAACCGACAGGGGTTAAAATATAACCTCCATGGTCGAGATGATAGAACCAACCTTCAAAAGTCCATAATCCTAACAGAATTCATACTGTGAGCTGGAGCATGACAACGAAATCCAATCCAAAGAAGCCAAACTGTTTATCTACAGTATTTTTTGTAAACATTCACTTTCCTGAACTGCAAAGCCAGCCACAACTAAAGATAGTCGAGAATGTGCTCGACCTCGAAGGTCAAGACTAAATATAACAGTAATGTAACGTTAAACCAAGGGACTCATTATCTGCCCCTGATTCTAAGACAGGTTCCTACCAAGCACATTTTGAGTACATATGGAGAGCAGTACTGCAAAAAGGCATACTTGTGTTCCTCATCGTGCATGAAACAATGTGTGGATGGATGGTTGGACGACTTTCAACTCCCCCCATCCTATTTTCAGGTGTAGGCCATGTTGAACAGCACCGTAAATACAAGAGGTTTAACAGTTTATCTGGGTGGTTTAGGTGAGAGAACTCTGGTTATACATCAAACTATCATTAGTAAAGCCAGAAACAGTGTGAGTTAAAGTATCAGTGGCTCAGGTGGATTTCATATGTATCTGAGGAGAACAGAATACAAGGTGTGATGCTTTGAAGGGGAAAGAAATCCTTAGTAAACCCTTCACACATCCCTTTGCAACCATATGAAAAGAAAAAGTGCCCTGCAGATACCTTCCCTTGTTATCAGGAAAGTAAACAAACTTTTACACCAAAAAAAGATGAATAAATACATTAGAGGGCATCTTGAATGCATCACACGCTAAATACATTATTAAAAGGCACAGACAGGGGTCCTGCTCAAATCCTGTCCACTCCATCCTCCATCTGTTTGCAGAGCGCCTCCATCACAAACTCACAAACTAAAATGGCCTCTCTCTCCCCCGTGAAACCAACTCACAAATAAATAATGCAACGTCCATGAATTACGCCGACATTTCATTGCATCTCTTTCTGGTTTGGAGTTCACTCCTCCGCTCGCATGTGAAATGTGCCTGAGGGGCCTTTGTTTGTTGGTTGATCTTATACCTGCAACTGGCAGAAATAGCCACGAGGCAGGCTCAGAGAAGAGAAGCGCTGTTTAAATATGGGTTTTCAGTGTGAAATATAACCAGCAGTATTAAGGGAATTAAATATTACCCACTACTCACATAAAAGGGAAAATCCAAGATTTGTATGTGACCCTTCTACAACGAATTCTAATCCCTCCCTGCACTAATTTAAATAAAATAATCACTAATTCTTATATTCCCCTTCTATTTCACCTGTTACATGACTGTGCCATGTCTCAGCTGTATTGTCGTGGATTCAGGTTTTGACTTCATGCGTTCAGTCACGTCATCTTTCTTGTTTGTACAATAATTTACTCAGAACCAATGCAAATCATATAATACAGTGTAATGACTCAGCATCTGCTGTCTGCAGAGAGACAGTTGCTCCTAATTCAATCACTGTGTGTATTTTTTTGTTCCCTTTCTTCGATTAGGAGTCTGGCTTACAACAACCTTGAGACGCTGCCCAAGGATGTCTTCAAGGGCATGGACGCTTTGACCAAAGTGTGAGTGCAGTCTGAAATCCAGACCCAGCGTATTTCTAGTAATATATCCTTAGATATTTATATATACTGTATGTATCATTAAACAAAATGGCAATAGGGCCATGTTGAAAAAAAGATTTAGAGTTGTAAGTATTTCATTATTTGTGAAACCTATAACTGCATATCTCAACAGGCCGACCATCTGATATCCCCTCTAGAATCATATGTAGCCTAGAATTATGACTTTATTCTAATAATATTATGACTTGATCCAATCTGTTAGTTACTAATTTGGTAAATTGCATTAATATGTACACAAGAAAGAGTTTCACACATGTATCTGCACAGAGCTTGACAGAACCTGATCAGGATGCATATTTTCTTCTACACCAACAAGTAATAATCTTTTTGCATGTTACTTAGGTAGTTGTCTTATGAGCTTGATTTGTGAGATGTGGTATTTATTCCCAATCAAGCAATTAGCACAATGGAACAAGGAACATACATGTACTGTGATACACTTTGGTGTCTAAAGAGATTTATTCGGTGATGTTGATCCTTCCTTCCGCTTGTTATGGTGCTTAAAAGAAAGAAAAGGACAGTAATCACCACTTGAACAGGAGTGAGAAAACAAACGACTGTAGGAGATGTTATTCGCTGCTCCTATGGAGAAACAAAAGAGGAAAAAAAGGAGATAAGAGATCTAGAGGAGAGGTGAGGGTTTGGGTTGTGAGGCCAGAGTATCAGGGTAAAAGGTAAACAAGCCATTTAGAGAGAAAAGATCCTGGCTGTGGTCACACCAACACAATCAGTGAGAATAATGCAGGCTGCAGGGTGTGTGTGTGTGTGTGCGTGTGTGCGTGTGTTCGTGTGTGCGTGCATGTGTGTGGATTAGAGACACACATTCAAGGTCAACAGTAATTTAAACCGAAAGCGGGCTACGAGTAGAGACCACTGAGTAGATAGGACACTTGTTGTGATGTTGTTGGCTTGAAGTCAAAGTTCAGGCAAATATGGAAGAGACACAACAGACCAGGAGCAGAAACTGAACATAAAAGCCTCCAAAACGTAAATTTTTCCGTGAACTGATGTTGCTTGCGATTCATCCTTGCATGTAAGTGATCTGCGGGGCAACAACCTGATATGCGACTGCAAGCTCAAGTGGCTGGTGGAGTGGATGCACCACACCAACGCCACCCTGGATCAGATCTACTGCAGCGGTCCGCCCATTCACCAGGGGAAGAAGATCAACGACCTGCTGCCACACTCCTTTGACTGCATCACCACAGGTATCATCTTCCTGTGTCTGCCCCGCTTCTTCCCACAGGAAAAGCCTCAACAATAGCTCCCTGTCCCCAGCTGACTGCATCACCTTTTCCTCTCACGCCTCCTCCCTGTTCCTTATCGCCATTTTATCAGTGCTGACAATAAAGCTCAGATGATGAGGCGTTTCTGTGGGAGAACTTATCGTTGTGTCATTGTGCTCACTGCCTTTCAGAGTTTGCCTCCTATCAGTCGCTGAAGTTTGAGTCGATCTCAGTGGAGGCCTTCACCTTTGGTAAAGATCAGTATGTTGTTTTTCCACAACCGTTCGCTGGGACATGCAGCTTCCTGGAATGGGATCACGTTGAGATGACCTTCAGACCCTATGACACTATTCAAAGTGAGTAAATAAAAGAGTCATAGCAGATCTTAACCCTTTTAAAAATGTCTGTCTTAAATTATAATACAATTGCTAATAATAATTGCCGGGACTCAGAGCAAGGATCTTTTTAGGGACATAAATTCAAGATGATCTGTTTTGCATTCTTAGCGCTTTTTCTGTGTCATCGACCTCTCTTCACGTTTAGGCACATCCACTGTGGTCTGCAAGCCCATGGTGATCGACAGCCACCTCTTTGTCATCGTGGCTCAGCTGTTTGGGGGCTCACACATTTACAAACGGGACAACTCCGCCAACAAGTTCATCAAGATCCAGGACATCGACATCCTGAAGATCCGCAAACCCAACGACATCGAGACGTTCATGATCGACGGGGAGTCTTTCTTTGTCATCGCCGACAGCTCTAAGGTTGGATGTTGTACTTAATTCTGATTTATTGTATTGTTCTTTTAATTTTGTTCACCTCATAGACTGTAAATAAAGATGGACGACACGAAAGCTCCCCGACAGTGTCTCGATCGCCCCCCTGGTGGCTGGCTGGAGTGTAGGTCATAAATCCTGCCATCATTATTTGAGTAGATGGAACATTGGCCAAACTACACGTCAAATAACTTTTTCTTAAAGATGGTTTCTGTCAGTTAAGGTTGTTCAAACTGATGTTTGTTAAAATTTTTCTCCAGTAAGTTTGGTTTTTAAGATATTTTTGGGGGGCATTTCATCTTTAGCGACAGGATAGTTAGCGTAAAGTATGAAGAGAGGGCCAAGTCGGAACCCAACCTGTGAACTCGTGCCACTGCGGAAGCTTTTGAATAAAAGTTCAACTGATATTTACACTTTTTCTTTCCTTAGGCCGGCTCCACAACTGTGTACAAGTGGAACGGCAATGGCTTCTACTCCCACCAGTCTCTCCATCCGTGGTACCGCGACACAGATGTGGAATATTTGGAGATCTCCAACAAGCCCCACCTGATCCTGTCCAGCAGCTCCCAGAGGCCTGTGGTGTACCAGTGGAACAGGAGCCAGAAGCAGTTTGAACGCAGGACAGACATACCAGACATGGAGGACGTCTTCTCAGTCAAACACTTTCGGGTCAAAGGTGAAGGCTGTAGCTTCAAAAACAGCATATGTACACACACACACACACACACACACACACACACACACACACACACACACACACACACACACACACACGTTACAGTATATGTTTGCACTGACTAAAAAGGCATCAGCTGGTATGTGTGTGTGTGGACTCTAGACGTCATTAGTCAGTTTTAAACGCTAAGACTCAGATAATCCGGGCCATGTTATATGATTAACAGTGGACTTTGACCCAGAAGAACTTTTTTTTTCACTTGGTTAATTTAATAAAAGCGTCCACGACCCACATACTCAGCCGCAATTTATTACATTTTAGTACTTTATTGCTTGGCCAGTCACACAGGCATTCATCTCAAAGGTACTCCACTACTATAACCCCCGCTCATAAATCACAACTGTATAATATTCTCTGTATGTCTTACTGTGAAGGGAAAAGCTACAGCTCATGTATTAAGAACAGTTTGCAAAGTAGCTGCTGATTACAAGCTAAGAATTATTATGGATTAACACAACAGATTCATTTCAGAGCCCAGTTTAGAAGATTAATGTTTAAATTAAAACAGTCCCTTGAATGTTTGCCCTTTTCCAAGGTGATCTGTTCGTATGCTTAACGAGATTCATCGGGGACTCCAAGGTGATGCGCTGGGACGGTGCCATGTTCAAGGAGGTCCAGACATTTCCCTCTCGTGGCTCCATGGTGTTCCAGCCTGTCTCCATCGGCAAGTGGCAGTACGCCATCTTGGGCAGTGACTATTCGCTGACGCAGGTCTACCAGTGGGAGGGCAAGAGGGGACAGTTCATCCCGTCTCAGGAGCTGAACATCCAGGCGCCTCGAGCGTTTTCCATAGTCTCCATCGACGACCGTGTTTTCCTTCTCGCGTCCAGCTTCAAGGGGAAAACTCAAATATACGAACACCTCATGATTGATTTGAGTAATTAAACCAGTCAACAATTCAGGATGAACCATGTACACTATCATTCAAATGCTTCTTCTGTGATTTAGTTCAACTCCGATTTGACTCCACGACATGGTTCAGACAAATGTAAATTTTACGCAGAAGCTCAAACTATCAAAGAAATATGTCAAGTAGGACGTCACTGTTCAAAAGGTCTGACACCATTTTAATGAATATATATTCTCAGCAGTAAACGTTTGGCAACCTGCTGCAACTAGCTCATTTTGATCAACTCCTCTTTATGCCTTATATCCTCCTTTTGAAGAACTCAGTTACTCAAAACTCACAAACTAACAGTGCAAACAAACTATCTTTCAACTTGTAGGCCTGTACCTTGATGTACAGTCTATGTTTTTTGCTATTCAACTCTATGTATTGTGTTTATTTCTCTTGTAGGAATTTGATAGGAAAGATGTAGGAATGTGTTAGTGCTGACGATCATGTGACAATAACTAAACTGGGTAAAGTGTAGTGAGAAAAGGGGCGAATGCAGTTGTATCCAAGAAAAAAAAGATTACTTCACAAGACAATTCTTCTTTAATTTAGGTCATTTCAGTGACTTCACAGTAAAACAGAACACAGAAAATAAATCTCACAAGACATCACCGTCACATGACAGTTTTTGAGATTCACACGTGACAAAGTATAGACTTTTTAATATCTTGTAGACAATTTTTACACACAGTTAGTAACATTATGGGTAGTTTGGGAAAACTTGTTTCACAGGCAAAAATTGGTCGACTCCTGTTTATTCTTCTTGTTCAAATTTAGCAGTTATAGTTAATCTGAGTTTTTAATTATTTTACCCTGACAGAAGTGGCCTGGGGAAAACATCTGTCTCCGTTGTGTCTACTCCCAGATAAGCAAGACTGTACGCACGATACAGACACTCACAGTGTATATTCCTGATGAATGACTCGCTAGAAGCATCTCACTGTGTCAACCAGCCCTCTCGCTTTCGCTGCACTCTTGCCCCTTTTCTCCCTCGCTGACAAAACCATTGTTATCTTTACTCCGCAACTAAAAGCCGACCACTGTGCAGCACCTGCTACCTGTGCTTTCACACGCTCCTCTTATTCTCACACGAAAAAAGAAAGAGATTATCCATAACAACGTAACACTTGCCAAATATAATGTTTACCTTTTTGCTATACCGTGTAAAGTACTTTGTATGATGTTGCTTTTGTATGTAGATGGGACCACACTCAGTCTTTTATTTTTCATAGACATAGAATTTAGTGTAGATATGTATGTATTTTTAAAAACAAGGATCCCCTCCCTAACACTGTGTTTCATGCAGCTTCTGTAAAACAGCGTAGTCCGACTTGTATCAGTCTAATGTAGTTAGTAAAGGTTAGAGGATGATAGATATTCACTTGTCATCGTGCTCACTGTATTTTATGTACAGACGTAATAAATACTAAAATGCTTTAATAGGGTGTGGGTATTTTATTGTATTGTAATTTGCCAGAAAACACTTTTTTGGGTCTAATTTTTCCATTTGCTAAAATCAGTGAGTCTATACGATAAGTTCTTGATTTAGATTTTCAGATCCAGTTTGGATCCAGATCTTTTTACTGAGCTTTATAACCTTAACATACATAACATGATTGTAAAACGTAAAGCTGTGTGATTTGTTGTTTATATATATATGTATAAACCATGACCTAAAATAAAAAAACTGTGTATTTCAGTACACGTGACAAACTATGAGCTATGATTATGTAATTTCCCAAAATAACTAACAATATATAAATACACATATGTGTAAGTATGAATATATCATATATACTCGTAGACACACACACATATATACACACAAATGTACACATAGATATGTATTTTTTTGTGAGCAGAATCTTATATATTGTGTAATCGGGGAAACATAATCTTGGCTCATAGTTTGTTAAGTATACATAATAAATATTTTGATTTATATTTTAATCATATACTCGATCATAACACGATAGATTTGGAGTTCATGGTTGTGTGAAATATAAATAACCCAGGCAGCTTCATGTGTGAGGAGTGTGTGGATGTGGTTGGCTCAGACCTCCTCTGCCTCCTCTGTCATAGGCTCCTGCTGCAGCTGATCAGCGGAGGAGGACCGGGATCAGCTCTGCCCCCCTGTGGAGGAACTGACCACCGCACGGAGCTGGTGTCCTGCCACCAAGGTTAGTCATTAACCCCGTCTCCTTCTCCGTCACTCCGGGCACCGCACAAGGAGGACAGCAGTCCGAGGCATGCTGCCGCCCCGCCGCCACATCTTACCATGGGCGACTGTAACCACCGGCCGCAGCAGCGGGCTACACCCGCGGAGGACGACACCATCACCGTAGAGTTCCACAAAGTTGACCGCGGCCAGGACACCGACGGCGGCGAGCGCGACGACGATGAGCGGGCGGCGGAGCGAGTTCACCTGCGGGGCAACTGTCGCCTGTCGAGCGGGTACGAAGAAGAAGAGGAGGAGGAGGAGGAGGATGCTGAGGAAGAGGAGGTGGAAGCGACACGGGCCGACGAGTCACTGGAAGGCGGCAAGAGGAAAACGCTGTGTCCGCCGGCGTTTTGTCTCCGGAGAGATCCCGCATCCCGAGGAGGAAGTGCCCAGGAAGGTTAGAGAAGTCCCCCCGGCTACAAACCGCCCGAACCCCGCAGGGATCGGTGTCCCCGGCCCGCACCACCACGGTCCTCCATTAATGAACTTAGAGAAATAACGTGATAAACTTCCTGCGTCACGTTATACATCCGCGTTACGGCACGTATTAATGTAACAGCGCCGGTGTCACGTGTTCGTCATCAGCCAATTAGAAGCTCGTATTAACTTATTTTAATTTATTAACTTTTTTTTTTTAAACTTTTTTTTTCTTTCTTGACCCAGTGCTGGCACATATGACGTCATTTCATCTGACTTCACGTCACAAAACTACAAAATAAGTGCAACCAAATGATGTAAAGAAATTACTTTTAATGTAAATATACTTTACAACATTTTGATATTTCAAATTTATTGTACAATGTTGAGATTGGTGGTGGTTGTAACATCACTTATTTAATTTTGACAGCGACCAAATGATGCAAAGAAATTACTTTGAATGTATATATATATATTTGGTTATTTCAAAAATTCAAAAAATGATTGATGGTGTTTGTAACGTGATGTATTAACGTTAATGTCACATATCATTCGTAACGTTTGCCTCAAAGCCTATAGAATACTAGGAACAAATATTTAAACATATTTTAAACAATATGACACAAGCTGTTCCTACTCACAGTTTTTTAACATGCGAACAACTCGGTTGCAAAGTGTGAAGCCGACCTCTTTCATAAACCGGCCTAACATTTGCATCATCCTTCAAGGGGATGACTGTGCACTTTTCCACTACCAGGGCCATGATAAGTGTAGGCCGCCTCCACTTTACACTTATAAAACTTTGTTCTCAATTTTAATCAAAATATTTACACACAAACTATTAAAAACTAATACTTTAATACTAATTATGTAATTCAGCACTGTTCTAATGTCCCTGTGTGTACCAGTCATTATGATAAAACTAATAAAACTAAAACCTCTAGTATGACGACTTAAGGTTTAAGTCAATCTTTGGTTTGGTACAGGGTGAAAAAGACAAATGCTGTGTGTGGAGCAGACCACACATTGTGCTACAAGTACAAAGAAAGACGTCAGAGCCACCTCAGGTTGAAATTTAATAAGTGTGAGGGTATCAGTTTATACTTCCACAGGCAGGGTAAGCAAACACTGCACCACTGTCTTTTGCGGATCTTTATGTTTGTGGTTTTTTGAAGCGAACTTTCACCCGGACCCCATGGAGTTAAATAACATCCTGCAGTTACTGTACCAACACGCTAATATCGAAACAAGCAATGTTTTTTTAGGTGAAGTGTGGAACAGTGAGAACCCTTTTTAGGGCCCCTTTGTCTCTGTCCTCCCCTCTCACTTATCTTGTCCTCCAACCTCACCGACACTTTCTCTCTCTTTTATGCAGGTGCAGAGAAACCAAAGGGATGTCCAGGTCTGGGTTTGTTCTATGCTTTCCTGTCCACAGTCTTCTTCTCTATCATCGCTCTCCTGGTGAAATCCATCCAGGGAATCCACGCCATAGAAATCAGTGCCATACGCTGCTTCTTCCAGATGCTCTTTGTTATGCCTTTACTCATCTACCACAAGTAAGCATGATTTAGACACAGAAACACTCTGATTTACAGTCAGACGGTTAAACATTAACTCCATGTTCAAGATTTACACGTAGAATACACAAATGACATAATTAGTGCTACAGTAACACTCCCAAAACAGTCTTTACATAAACCAGCAATTTATACTGTGTGATAAGATAAAGTGCTTTAACTCAGCAAGGAAACACATGTCGCTGCCTGTAATTTATATCTGGGGATTTCTGCTGTTGTCTGCATGCTTTACCTTCACACTGCAGGTAAGTATCTTGGCTTATCTGCCAACTTAAACCAGCACTGCTGAGACCAGTTGAAGTTGTCAAAATACTCTACTCTAATATGTTTGTCAGGAAGTAGGAGATGGGAAGGTTTTTAAAAATGTCCTCCCACTTGAAGTTACAGGTTTTTAACAAACTCAAATGAACTTTTAAGGTTTTAATGTGGACATTTTGCTTTAAATTGCCTTGAGAGAATCCTTTCAAATCTGGTGCACGGATTAACTGATTTGATTTGGGTGGTCAAGTTCACAGTCTGCCTCTAGGGAGTTCAGATTTTGACCAGTTGTCACTTTGTGTGAGATTTGAACTCATGGAATTTCAGTGACCTTATATTAACGTGAATGCAACCTGTTAGAATAAGGGAGGGAGGGAAACTTTACTGGTTGGTGGAGGCATACAACCACAGGACAGTAATTCTAGTCTCTAAATAAAGTACTTAACAGTAGCACCCATCTCATGCCATCTGCACACAGGAACACTGTTAAAACTACAATGAACTTTACAGATTATCAGAAAATAAAATATTAAAATGACCTTGTGACCCTAAGATTTGAATTTAAACTGAATTCCCAAAGACTACCACCAATACTTCTATTCATTCAGCTACCTATTCATCCTTCCATCCATTCGTCCTCTACATCCCTCTTTATTTTATCGTCACCAACAAAAGTACTACTCCTCCACGATTTTGCAGCTGCATCCATGAATCCATCCATCACTGTCATTTTCTCACAACCTAAACCTAAATGTGTCCATTTATCTATCCAACCATCCAACCGTTTGTCATCACTCAGCTCCCGTTACAGCTCACTTTTACTCCATCCATCACATTTTCCCTAAAAATTCAGTTTATCACTCCCTGTATCAGTCATTTCATCCATCCATCCATCCATCCATCCATCCATCCATCCATCCTCATGTCTCTGCTCCTCCAGGACAGGTTTCCTTGGTCCCAGAGATAAACGTATATTTCTGGTGCTTCGGGGTTTCATCGGCTCCAATGCCATGATCCTGCTCTTCTATGCCGTTCAGCAGATGCCACTGGCAGACGCCACCGTCATCATGTTCAGGTGAGAGCTGGAAGGAACTTGTGGATTACATTCACACTGCAAATATATTCTGTCCTTCCTGAATTGTACACTTTTTGTTAAATTCCCTGCCATTCTTATTGTTTCACCGTGTCTCTACCCGACTTTTTCCTTCTGTTTGGACAATAATCAACATTTCTCTCGGTTTTATTTTATGAATGGCACCCAGACATGCTCTCATCTCAAACCCATGTTTTTTCTCTGTCCATTGACCCGTCAGTAATCCAGTCTTTACCTCACTCCTGGCTTGGATCTTTCTGAAGGAGAAATGTACAATCTTGGATTGTGTCTTCACTGTTTTTACCCTGACTGGTGTCATCATTATCGCCCGACCACCTTTCCTCTTTGGCCAACATCTGCGTGGCATTGAAGGCAACTACGCTAACCACATCAAGGGGACTATTGCTGCGTTTGCAGGTAATACACAATAACTCAGTTTGACGAAGCCTTTATAAAGCACCAGCCATATTAGTAGACAAAATGATTCGGGAGGTGATGGTCAGAAACTTTGTACCTGGTCAGTACCAGGTCTGGGTTACCATGGCAACCAAGGGAATCCACTACCCCGCTGCTGTGTCCCATGGCACATCCAGGTTACCTAGGAGATCGTCTTTCAAGTTAGTCATGGTCAGGGGCGGGTTACATCTTACACTATCTCAAAAAGTGATAGTCGCCATTCTGCTAAGAGACCTACTTGCAGTAGGGGCTTGAATTTTTCAACTTGCAGGAATCGATAGTGTAGTGACCACCAGAAAATCACTGCTACTTTTTGTGGATGGATCATCGAGCAAAGCCAGCGAGAGTTTCTCCTTAAGTAAATTATGAGCTTTGTTTTATTGCTAAGTTCCAATTTCAGTAGAAGTCTCTGGTGGTTAGTCAGCGAAATCTTAGTCAGGGAAAACATATGAGGAGGAAATTATTCCTGCAAATACAGGTGTAGTCCAGGAGGATTTCATGGAGCTATATATGTACATTTTCTATGTTGGTGTTTTCAGTCTCTAATATCTTTTTAATGTGTCTCTAGGAGCGGTCGCGGCTGCTTTTACATTTGTTGTCCTCCGCAAAATGGGGAAGAGCGTCCATTACTACCTCTCTGTTTGGTACTATGCAGTCATCGGTTTCCTCGAGTGCCTCATCACTGTATCCGTCCTTGGGGAATGGAAAATCCCGTACTGTGGGCGCGATCGCTGGATACTGATGCTGATTGCTGTCCTGGGCATAGCTGGTCAGGTCTTCCTGACAAAGGCCCTGCAGATCGAGAAGGCCGGACCCGTGGCCCTGATGAGGACTGTGGACGTGGTGCTGGCGTTCATCTTCCAGTTCATTTTCTTTAACCGTGCACCGACCTTGTGGAGCCTCGGAGGGGCGCTGTGCGTGGTGGCGAGCACTAGTGGAATAGCAGTCAAGAAGTGGTACAGCAACTCTCGCAAGAGCTGAGCTAGAGGAGCGACATGGAATCCTTCAGTTTTACTATTTATTCTTTTGTTTTTCATTCTCTTAGAGTATGTTCTTGATTTATTCAGTGTTTTATTTGTTATTCACATGCAAATCTGAGGAGGACGAGGCTTAAGCTGTTTGAAGGAGTTAAAAGCAGGAATACAGATGAGACGGTTATGAGCTTGTGAGAGCTTTAAATTCAATTTTTAATTCTGTACATCTATACATGTTGATTCCTGAGGGTCAACTTGTGTAATTTATTGTTATACATTTATTTTTGTGTAAACAAGCACATCTGACAGGAAAAAAGCTGTATAATCACCTTACAGACCCGAGCTGTGTCCTGCTCCCTGGAGCCCGTGTAGCTTATTTTCATGACAATATTCCTATTTTCCTTCCTGTTATAAAACGTGTGCAGCATAAATGAGGTGCAAGTTGAATTTCACCGTCATGAAAAAAGTTTGATTAAGAATTTCCTCGGCCCCATTTTCCTTTAGCTTTAACCTGAACAAAGAAGCCAAAGATAGATGTTTACTGCACTGGGACCATTCTCACTGTGCCACATAGAAATCATGTATACCAGCTATATTATTTCATTGTGCTATGGTCTTGGCACTATTGAATATACACTATATAATCCACACACAAAAAAAGGATGGAAATCCAAATAAGCAGTATAAATAAGTGAAATATAGATATCTATTACCTTTTAGTTTAAAAATGCATTTGTGATAAAAACATTTCAAATATTTCTGTAAAAAAAAAAAAAAAAAGATAAACTCTAAATAAAATCCCAATTTTAGTTTTTACTTGAATACATAGTCGTGCTGTAGGATTCTCTCAGGGAGTAAATTATAAATAAAACAATTATCCACATTTCAATTTATACAGATAAATCCTCCCCAAATTAAGTTGTCATTGAAGAAGTTATCCCATTATGATATATATTGATATTTGATTTTTCTTCTGTTACTTTTCCAATATATTAAGAAGTAATTGGGTCGAAAATATCTATTAAGATCCTGTCCACAGTTAATAATCTCTACACAATATCTCTGAAGTGCCTTAAGCAGGGACCTTTAACCTCCAGCTTCCTTGAGTGGAGCTGCTCAGTAACCAGCCGCCTGCACTGGACAGTTCTCAGGTGTTATTCCTCTTATGAATATGAGGTATGGCTGATAAGAACATTTCAGCTTATAAATGATTTTAATGCTTGTATTAATATTGACATTATCAAAACAGCATTTTTAAAATAAGGCACATAAGATGTGGCCTAAATCCCTCAGTATAAGAATACAGTATGTCCTCTTCTTTAAGAAGTGGCATACACATTTCAAGGGGAGTACAGAGATATACAGTGGTCTGACAGGGCACGGCACAGTGTGACATGTAAAAGCCTCTCAATGTTGGAGAAAACACAATGAGCTGAGAGTTGATTTAATCTTTACTTCAATGTAACTTGCTGTGGTTCATCTTCATCCCAACTGTGCACAAATATTATGCAAGAAGTAGTTAAATAAGCACTTAAATAATAGTTTGTTTCTAATATTACCTGTTCTTTTTTTATTAATAAAAATGTATCAGCTCATAGACTTATGCTCCTACCCCTTAATTTTAATGAGCAGAGTTTAGTAGTTAAATGGTTTATTTCAGGTCAATGCATCAAAACCCCTCTGATATAATTCGATTTTAAAGACAACGTGTGAGATATAGTAAACTCTCTTGTGGTTCGAGTGCCATATTTTTGCGTGAATGAGTTTATTTAACGGCACTGTGACATTTATTAGTCATTGTTTGTAGAACAGTGAGACGTTCTGGACACTACACATGTTCGCAGGCTAATTTCATGTCCTTGTTTGATTTGCTTTCACACGTGACTTTTACTGCTCAGAATTTTAGTTTAGCCGACTTGAATACTGGTAGCTTTAAGCACAACGTGTTGAATCACCATCAAATGGTTTGGTAAACATTTGTTTCAGGACATGTAAGCCTTACAAACTTAATAAAGCTGTATAGGATTTTTAAAACATGGTTTAATAGTATTTATTTTACTATTTCTGTATTGTATTACATCAGCATATTCTTTGTAAATATTTCTGCATAGTGATGGACAATATTTAGTTCATTATGATTCAAGAATAAATTCCATATGAATTTATAACTCCTGTTGTCTGGGATCTTCATCTTTCTGACATGACTGACACATGTGGCACAGACCCAAACTGTGCAGCGGTGTTGTCTAGTTTTACATCATTGTCCCAAAGTGTATGTAGCCTTACCCTAACTGCTAATGGCTCAATGGGTGACAAAGGTAAAAACCAGGCTACCTTTTTACAAACCACTGAGTCAGGCAGCTGTTGACAGGAGGGCTCAGAATAATACCTGACATAGTCATTGTGTGTCTGTGTTTGCATGTGTGTGTGCGCAGATTATTTGTCTCTGTGAGCGCTACACAGATTTCCACCAGGCCTTTGTTTATTTTCCTTTCATTTGTCAAGAACACACAGTTGTGAGGCATTGTGTGTTCCTGCAGAATGGGCCGTGCTGCATTGTGCAACAGCATCACCCATATCTTGCAAAACACACACTGGTAACTAACTGTACACAGATGGTGTTATAAACCTTCCTCCCAGTCCAGGCAGGGTTGCGGTGTAATTCCTCATCTGAGCAATGAGCTAAGTGAAGTGTGAAAAAAAGGCTGAACGAGAACAGAGCCGCTCTTTGTTGCAGGGCACAATAACTCGGGGCTAAAGATGCCTTGATTAGATTTATGTCACATTTACAAGCGTATAAGTGTCATTGTATACAAATAAAATACTCAAATGACTGATTTTGTACTTGATGTATTACGGGTATCATCAATAGTTTTGATACCTCTGCTTTCATCAGTGCTGTTATTATCATTTTAATTATGATCACGTCAGATGTCCTTAGTAACTAATAAATCTGGACAAGTGTCACGGTTCCCCTTGTGTGTAATGAACCTTACCTCACAGCAGAGGGCAGGATCCACAAAAATAAGGACAGAGGAACTTCACCTCATCAGCAATTTCACCTAGTCTCAGTGTGTGCACATGCTGAACATACCACTGTAACAGAAGCTCATAAAAAAAAAAGTCATTTCATAATTCAGAGTCAGTCTCCTTCTCATCTACCTGTTCTGTCTCATGGGTGTTTTAATATCCATGAGATAATAAGAAAAGAACTCCCTACTATCATATCAAATATCACAAATATGACAACGCAGGATGTGTCAGAGATGTAACAAAGCTCAAGGCATAACAGTGTATGTGTTTGTGAGAGGAAATAAAAAAGCACTATAATCTTGGGGAGAGGCCACGCTCCCTCTCTTTTATCAGCGGGCTGGGGATTCCCAAAGGTTTGCTCGCTCCTGGGTGGAGGAGAGCCGGAGGAATGGAAGAGTTGCACATTCCTGCTGGATGGCATAAGACTTCCCATCAGTGGAGCGAGAGTGAATGGGAAAATAATCCCTCACTTTTCCAAGTTGAAATGAATACCGTCAGAAGCTGTGGAGTGGAAAAGGGCATCTCTCTCTCTGCAGCATGTGCTTTGGGGGTTTCTGGTGCATTCAGAGGCCCAACAACTGCACAATCTAACCTACTTTTTTTATTCTACTTCATATGCTGCGTATCCGCTGCACATTGGGTGCACACAAACAAGTGAATAATAGTTTCACTGTTTGGGACTGAACCGGGTCCCAAAGAGAAATCGGATTGGATTGAGGTGAGACACATCTGGATTAAGGTTGGTCCATGGCCTGCAACCATTGGTCAAAATAATTGGGCCCCTCAGTTAAACCAAAGGCTTTGGATGAGGGTGCATATTGACTCATTAGTCTGCTGCATTGCTATAAAGAATAAATCACTTTGGACTAGAGTAAATATTGTATAGGGGAGACTGCGTAAAGTTAACGACTGACTACGGTGTGAAATAGTTGCCAGACATTCCAATGTAGTGACACACACGCACACACACACACACACACACACACACACTGGTCTGCAGTTATTGTCCTCCTGTCCACAGCTCTGCTGGCTACTGAGAGAAACAGATGCAGCCTTTGTGTGCTGTTGGATAAATTGCCATTACAAAAGAAGGGCACAGATATCTAAAACAATATCATGCTGACCAGTGGCGTTGTATAGCCAACCGTCATGTAAAGTGCATGTCTACCATTTATCCTGATTCAGTCCAAAATTCAATGCCTTCCACCTCGAGTCGTGTCCCTTATATACAGTCTATGGTCATGTCCCACCTTTCCACAAAGTTTCATGGACATCGGTTCAACAGTTTTTGCGGAATCCTGGTCACCAACAAACGAACCAGGCCCAACAATCCCTTCATTAAACCACATTTACATTCAGCAGATCCAGATTTGTATTTGTATTCGCACTACATTGCACGCACTTATAAACATTTTACGTCTAAACACGCCCGGCTTGTTTCATAAATTATTCTCTGAGAAACCAATCCGTGCTGAAATCGAATGGGTTCTGTCCCGACCTGCACCGCATCTTCCCTAAACGTTTTGCTGTCATCCGTGCAGTGGTTTTCCCACAATGCTGCTGACAAACACACAAACTAATGCGATAAATAATCAAGAAAGAAACATGGAGGCCCAATAAAAATCTAAGGAACCTAAGTGTCCAAACTGTGGGAGCTCAGTTTTCCGAGGAGCACGTGAAGGCATCAGGGAAGAGAAAGAGGTTTCCCACCACAACACGAGAAAGTGTGTGTGTGTGTGTGTGTTTATGTGTGTGTGTGTGCGTGTGTGTGTGTGTGTGTGTGAAAGAGAGAGAGAGAGAGGGGGGGAGCACCGTGCACAGTCGCTGCAGGAATATGAAGTGAACTCGACACTGAGCGGAGTTTTGCTGGATGCTCTCTGGACTTGACAACTTCGGTGAGTAAGTTTTGTGCCGACACACTTCCTCCAAACTGCCGCCTCACTCACCTCTCCTACCCGGGGGACGCTGCACGAGTCCCGGCTGAGTTTGTTTGTGGAGCCGCTGAGTGACAGTGGTTCTCAGTGTGGAACCCCCAAATCCAAGAATCCGAGAAAAATCGGTATAACAGCGGTAATTAAAGTTTGTCTGCGAGTAGAATGGAGTGTAGATGGAATGTGGGTGTTAACTTTACCCGCGATATTAAATTCAAATCATTTAATTTGTAACTTTGAGCAAACTTTAACCTTTTGGCGCTCTTATTGTGGAAAGCTTACCTATACCTGCCATTGTGTGTCTGTTTGCTTTGAGGTTCACGACTGTGTGTTATTGTCATTGGTTGTGTAAATTCAGCTCTAATTAAGTTCAGTAATGTGATTGTTAACTTTACCTGAGACACTAAATTCAAATCATTTATCTTGTAACTTTTCTTTCTCTTTTTAACTGTGTTTTTTGGCGCTCTTATTGTGAAAAGCTTACCTATATACCTGCCATTGTGTGTCTGTTTGTGAGTATGAAGTGTGTTGTTGTCAAAGTTAAGTTCGTTGATTTGATTATCCACTTTATCTGGGATCTCTTTTTTAACCGTTTTCAAGTTTTTTGGTTTTCTTATCTTGACATGTTTAGTGACCTACTTGCTCAGGGGTGCATAGCTGAATGTCTCATTGTCAAAGTTGTTTGTGTTTATTTAGTTAAAACTAAGTTCAATGGAATTTCTTTAAAGCTGAGCCCTGTCATTAGCTCTAAAGGTCTTTTACTTTGACAGGTCTTTTACACGGTACCCTGGAAGACATCCTCAGGGGGATACTGACCCGTAACTATTTCTTTTCTTCTGTGTGACGTTGCTTCCAAGTAATCAGTTGCAAATGGGAATGAAGATTAATCATAACCAGATCAGGACCGGTCTAACAGAGGGTTAGGAATTTTATGCCTGATGTCTGTGGTGCAGAGGCACATTGGGGACCTATGGAGAAATTGTCCATTTTGACAGTTCGTCCAGATTGAGGAAAGGGAAAGACCACAAGGAGAAAATATTGTCCTCAGTCTCAGGTTTGCTGTAGATTTACAGACTGGATCACTGTCGCCAACGTCTAGATTTTGTGGAGGCTACTTCAGCTTCCAGTCATGTGTGCTACAACATCGAGAGAGAAGTTGTAGCGAAGGTGCGGCAATGTCGTGAGATAGAATATTGGATCCTCTTTGCATCCTCTTATCCTGTAACCCCATCAGGTGCTTCCCATGTGTCAAAGCTCCGGGTTTTGCATCAGTGATG